TGGTGGTCGTTGTCTCCGTTCCCGCACTAAACATATCCCATATGGTAGTGATCAAGTTGTCCATGGTAAACACAGACTGTTTATTGTACTTTTCCTAGGAATGATGTATTAGAATTACTTGATAAATTAACGAGCCTTTGAGATACCATAACATAACTCCATATAACATCATTATTGGCTTAATTTGCTTATTTGGCCAATTAAGCCAGACGTTAGAGAGTGTAATAGCTAAAGGTAAAGTCAGATGAGTTGTGAGGATTCCTTCAAACAGTTTAAATAAAATCAGAGCTATAAACTTTCAATAAGTCCTTTCTGATTCCTCACTTTCTCACCCATGAGGGCCATTCAGTTCTTTCAAACGTAATTTTTATCAAGTCATCATGGCTAGTCTCTGTCAGTTCTAGCATTTATTGTCTATTTCATTGTCTAAATTTCACATTCGAGCTCCAGAACCACTCACCCCCTAACAGAATCATTGTTCCCAATGTCGCCAGTAGTTACACCCATGATAGTTCCTCAGTAACTTCGAGGACTCCACACACTTGATCATTTGTCATCTGTTCATCTGAGCCAGTTTCCTCTAAAACTACCTCATCTGGGAAGACTTCCTAGTATCTTTCTGAAGGTTAGCCTTTCTAGATGCATATCCATTCCTGTGTTCCCTCACATGTTACATCTTGCATTCATGGAACTTATTTTATGAATGCTACATGTTGTTTATCATTCATCTTGAATGTGTGTGTACTTCTTTGCGTATGTGTGTACGTGTGCGTGTATTTCAACCTGTTCCAAATAAAGATCCAGCTTTTATCATGTAAATCATTTTTAGGAAGCATCTGGGGCTATCTCAAGACACCCAATATGATTTGCACAAGTAAGAGATTGCACAAGTAATTAATACAGCCTGAGGAAGGAGCTTCAGATTTAATATCCCAATTTCACTGAAAAGATCAGAACTCATCCGAGCCACATCACCCACAAAAGATGAGGTTGCAGATCAGGGTCCTTTATACCTTTTCCATTTTAATCATGAAGTAGTCAATAAAGTCTCGAGGGTTACCGAGGTCCAAGGATTCCTGGTGTTCTTTTATTTGCTCCAAAATAAATTTTTTCTGTTCAGTAAAGTTGTTAAAGAATTCATTATGACTTCCTGGGAGATAATGCATTAAATAGGGGAAAGCATTGTAGAGCTGAAAGAGTAAAGAATAATTCATTCATTTACTCACCAAACTCTTACTGGTCTCTATTATGTATCAGACACTTTGCTATACGCTGAGTAGGTGAAGATGAATCAGACGTGCATCCTGCACTAGAACATACTTGGCCATTCCCAATCCTGGAGTTTACCGGCTCTGCTTTAACCGGCACCTCCATGACCTAATACCGTTGGTGGGCGCTGGAACAGTTTATTCGGGCTGGTAGCTTGTATCAAACTCGATAGAGAATCAAGAAGTCTGGATTCTAGGTCTAGCTCATTAATGGTCTTCGTTAGTCTACTTTGAGAATGTGCTTCCTATCTGTGGGTGATAGTTTCCTGTTCCAAAAAATGAGGAGTTGACTCTTTGTTCTCCAGGGTCCTTCCCAGGTGGAACACTGAAAAACCTTCTGAGCCACACAAAACTTTAGTTGTTAATGATTATATATCAGAGGTTACTAATATTTTCTGACTGTGTCCTATAGCAAGAAATACATACATTTTACACCATTACCCTCTTCATCTATAGAAAAAAAAGTTTCTAAAAAAATACCTTATCCTTTGATGCAGTTTAATATAATAATTTTCTTTCTATTGCTATGTTTCATGCTTTAAATTTAACACATTGAGTTGATTTGATAACTCACTAATTGCTTACAAATGATAGTTTGCTAAACATCACTTCAGCCATTTTGAAATAGGGCAAAGGGATGGGGTAGGCATAAGCAATAGATTAGTCAGAAAATTATTTCTCATTTAAAGAGAACCTTGACTTTACCTGTATCCAAATGCTGCTTATAATCCTCAAGTTTTCATTAAAATAGTGTAGCAAGGTCAGCAACCTCTCGTCGCTGTACTCAAAGCGGCTCTGGAAGATAACGGAGCAGATCACATTGCAGGGAGCACAGCCCAGGAGGAGAGAAGGGTCGCAGGGAGATGCTGAAAACAACAGGAGTTAAAAGTTAGAGCAGAATGCTCATAGGCATCTTAAGTTGACCGTGTAAAATAACCGAGAAAGGTTGACTCCAAAGGTTGTTTAAGTATAGGAGCTACCTAGACATGCCACCCTCACCATAAACGCAGCATGCCTAAAATAAAATGTGTTGTGTTTCCCCAAACATAACTGTCTAACCCAGTCCAGTTTATCAATTTCCCTCAAGTATTCTTCTATTGACAGCATTTGCCAAATAAGAGCCACGAGGTAATTCACAAGATCTTTTAAAAATAACTTTTAAATTTTATTTATTTATTATAATGTTATTGACTATATTCCCTATGCTGTACTGTGCATCCCCATGACTATTTTGTAACTTCCGATCTGTACTTCTCAATCCCTTCACCTTTCTCACTCACGCTCCCAACCTCCCCACCTCTTGCAACCATCCGTCTGTTCTCGGTGTCTACGAGCCTGTTTCTCTTTCGTTTATTCGCTTATATGGTTCTTTAGATTTCACATAAAAGTGAAATCATACGGTATTTGTCTTTCTCTGACTGACTTACTTCACTCAGCATGACGCCCTCTAGGTCATCCATGCTGTCGCAAAGAGTAGGAGTTCGTTCTTTCTCTGGCAAAAACACCTTTGAAGGTGTAAGATTTAGCCTTCAGTGTGATGCTTCATGATGCTCATAAGAAACTGAGCAACCTAAGTAAGAAAATCAAGAGACTGGGGACACCTGAAATCTTACTTTACAAAACATGGCTGAAGAAGTCGGGTGTGCTTTTCTTGTAGAAGAGATGATTTATGAGAGAAATTGGACTTACATTCTGGTATTTGAAAAACGATGTTACAGTACAGCAAGCAGGCTTTCTATATGTAATAAAGAATATGACTCCGTTCTTTGGTATGGGGCTGCTGACAGCTTTAAGCCTTACCTTTTCTTCCTCTGCTCACATCTGGACAAACTGGTTTTTAAAAGCTCAGGTGTTCCCCTCTTTGGTACAAGCAGGGTGTTTACCCACACAAGCCCTGGCGGGCACAGGGACACCCCCCCTCACCCCTTAAGCACCATAGAAACCTCACCCCAGTGTCCTTTCCCTCCTCTGTCAGGCCATTCTGGGGTCTGCTTAGGAGCCACCGCCCCCGCCCAGAAAGCCTCCCTTCCCACCTACACTGTTGCGTGAGCCGTGATGCCGCCCTGTGCGCGGCAAGGTTTTGCCATAAATTCTACCCCTGAACCACCAGTGCTTTTTTTTCAGTTTCACTGAGATATAATTGACATTCAGCACAGTATGTTTCACCTGCATAGCATAACGACTTGATGTACATATATCATGAAATATGTGCAAGGTTTCTCAAGAAGCTACTAGAGAAATTACCTAGTTTTTCAAGTTATTGTGGCTAAACTACTAGCTGATTGCCAAAACCCGAGTTCTCCTCTTCTTCCGGGGCCACGGACAGCCATGTTTCCAGTTCTTAGAGGTGGGTTAGCCCTGGAAGTTACAGCTCATGGAAGAGAGGACGGGTTGTGTACCGCTGCCATGCCGGACTCCTCCAACACAGCTGGCTCTTTTCCTTGTTCTTTGTTCCTTCCACTCCCACCAAGAGGGATGAATCCCAGGTGACACACTGGAAGCCACACGGTGAAGCTATCAAAGCCCCTATCGACCTGGTACCCGGAGAACCTGAAAAAGCCAACCGCTTCCCCTCTTCCTACGGGTAGTGAGCAAAAAGCGAGCTTCTGCTGTACCGGAGCCATCCTGTCTCTGCAGTCTATCTGTAATAGCATCACCCAAGCTTCTCCTGTCAATGACAGAGATACGCACCGTTGGTTTTCTTTAAAGCTTCCACCAGACACAAGGCTTCCTCTTGAATTCTGTCTTCAATGGTCTTCTTGCCCATGCCCATGTTCCGCAAAACCATGAGGGAGAAACGCCGGGTGTGCTTCCACATTTCTCCATTGCTGAAAACAATTCCTATCCGGACAAAAAATAAATAAAAAAGGATAACTTCCATTTTCATGAGTCCTAGCTGACAGGCTTTATCTCAGAAAATGATAATGTCATTAAGAAGAAACATAAATATCATGGTGCCAGCCTCAGACATTCCCACTGCGCCCTATTTGCCTGCCTTCTCTCTTACCCCAGCCTAGACGCCCACTGTCACTGTCAAGACTCTTGGATTGACATCTTACTAGACTCTTCTTCATCCATGAACTCCTCTAAAGTTTGCAGTAACTCTGTGAACCAGTTTTTGTCCCCATTTAACTGCTAAGAAGGCTGAAGATCATGGAGACAAAATGCTTACGCCTTAATCACACAGCTAATAAATCAAGGTGAGCCCAAGTAATGGATTAAATGTTCAGGGCCAACTTCTGTGCATAGTAAGCAAAAATGGAGCCAATCCTTGGGAGGAGAGACAGCTCTGATGCATTGGAAGGAAGCTCATGAAAATCTATTCCTCAGATAAGGGACGTAGCCGTAGTCCTTCGCATGTTAACATTCTCCCTCTCTTTGTGAAATACCTTCCATGAAATGTGTCTTAACACCAAGGAAGGCCAACATTAGACGTCCAGATTTAAGACAGGACCAGGGAGGGAAAATAACGCTTGTAGGAAGCTTGTCCAAGGAGGTCTTTGAGAACAATTCGGAGGAGGGAAGGACCCCACCCAGGCCTTATCTCCTTGCCGGAACCCAGTGACCCTCCTGAGGACCGGGCAGTTTTAAGTCCAGCTCCAAAAACAAATGGAAGATAGTTCAAGTACTTAAGTTGAAAAGCTTTTTCTAATATCAATTCCAACCCTTTCTATGTGTTTCTCCATAATCATCTTTTTAGAGCATATTTGTGCTTTATGCTTTGTATTCTATTGAACTCAAATATTTCTTATCCTTTTTAGATGAGAAGATTAAAGGTAAGGTTGGAAATATTCCAAACTTATGTTGGTTCCATGCATACTATACACGTTTTCTGAAATAATCTCTTGGCAATCATGACCCAGGACAGAAAGCAAAATATTTGGTGACTAAAATAACGCAGTCAATTTCTTCCCTCTCTTTCTCATTCTTAGCAGGCCATAATTTAAAACGAGCAGGGCTTAGTCACCAATAGAACATTGTGGTGAGTTGGTTTGCATTGAAATTATCGTTTTATGGCAACATGTGTCGCCTTCATCATTTTAAATATGGATTAATTGTCCTTTACAGAAAATGTTGGAATTATGATATTTCCATAAATTTCTATACATGCTTAAAGTTTCTCAGTTCCTTCGCCCATTTGGAATCTTGGCAACTTGCAAATCCGCACACATTCCCCACATGGAAGCATACCTAATCCCCGGGAGAGGTAGTCTATCACTGGGAAACTGCCTCTGCCAGCAAACTCCTCGCCCCGGTCGATCAGGGCTTCCTTCACGGCGGCGTACCCGTGCAGCACCACCGTGGGCTGCGTGCCCAAGTACACAGTGAACACCGGGCCGTAGACCTCCGCTAGCTGGGAAATAAATAGGAGACACCAGAATAGTGAGAACTCAAAACTGAAAATGTAGCTCCAGCCCATTTTTCTCAGTGGTTAGAGCATTGGCCCTCAGACTGAAGGGTCCCAGGTTCGATTCTGATCAAGGGAACGTACCTTGGTTGCAGGCTCATCCATGCGTGCAGAGGCAACCAATCAGACACATTGATGTTTCACTCTCTCTCTGTCTCTCCCCCTCCCTCCACTCTCTCTAAAAAGCAATAGAAAAAATACCCTCAGGTGAGGATTAACAAACAAAAAACTAAAAAAGTAGACAAATGAGAGAAATATTCTTTTTTTAAAAATATATTTTATTGATTTTTTACAGAGAGGGAGTGGGACAGAGAGTTAGAAACATCGATGAGAGAGAAACATCGATCAGCTGCCTCCTGCACACTCCCTACTGGGGATGTGCCCGCAACCAAGGTACATGCCCTTAACCAGAATTGAACCTGGGACCCTTGAATCCGCAGGCTGACGCTCTATCCACTGAGCCAAACCGGTCAGGGCAGAGAGAAATATTCTTAATCTTACCAAAGACATTTAATATTCATTCACTCATTATAAAAGATTTCAATTTCTAGATCCAATAACTTAATAAGAATTCACATTGCTTAAATGGGAATTATCATTATATTATTAGTAATATAGCTGATACTATTACCACCAACAGTCATCCTTTATTCAGCTTCTACTATGTGACTCTGTCATAAATTTTATTTATATTATTTTATTTCTTCTTTTCTGCCAAACCTCTAATTGCTGCAAGTTTCTCCTTCCTTCCTATAGTTATAACTGACATGTTTCTCCTGTTTAAGGGAAGCTTCTTCATGTTGCCCCAGGTGTAGACAAATAATCGTCGCTCCTTATCCGTTTTCTACATCTTCTCTTTAGCATCAGAGACCTCCGGATACATTTCATTACTGCATCCGGACAAGGCAGCCTCGTTACAGACCTTTCCCAGCTCCTCTTGTGGCCATGTGACTAGGCTGCCATGATGTTAGCAGGAGTGATGTGTGTCTGTCCTACACTGTTGGACAAATGGTCACCCATGCTCTCCGTTTCTCCCCCTACTCATGGGTTGACCCCACTGTGACCCCTTGGAGATGGCCCCACTGTGATCACCAAAATGAAAACAATAGCCTCAGGGCACAGGATGGTCAACAAGATGGAGAAAAACTGGTTCTCTGAATGACCCCACAGAAGAGAGGCAGCCCACCCGCAATCATTTCAACATCACAGACAGAAAGAAGCTCTTGTCTTCTTTAAGCCACTGCATTATCGGGGTCTTTCTCTTATGGCAGCTTACTCTGTATATTAAATGATATAGGACTTTCCAATAGTCCAGTGTTTGAGTCCTGCTACCTTATAATTCATTCTCCTTCTCCAATTCCTTCTCCAGAGTGATGTTTTCACACGGCCAATGGTGACATGACAGTCCTGTGAGCACGTTCATGGTATCACATTGTTTTGTGCTAAGGACCAACATTCTTTTAAAAATTATTTAAGCGCTATTTTTATTGATTTCAGAGAAGGAGGGAGAGGGAGAGAGCGAGAGAGCGAGAGCGAGAGCGAGAGCAAGAGCGAGAGAGAGAGAGAGAGAGAGAAACATCAATGATGAGAGTGAATCACTGATAGGCTGCCTCCTGCATGCTCCCGACTTGGGATCAAGCCTGAAACCAGAGCAAGTGCCCTGACCAGGAATCAAACCGTGACCTCCTGGTTCATAGGTTGACGCTCAACCACTGACCCATGCCGGTCAGGCTAAAAACCAATATTCTTAAAATCCTTGTAAGACCTGCATGCTCTGGCCCCTGCTGACCTCGCCACTATCACTCAAACAATGTTTTTACTTACTCTCTGGGCTACAACTAAACTGGTCCTTTTTCAGACTCTAACAAGGAAGTCTTCTCCAGATCGAAAAAGCCTGGGACAATCTTTTATCAGGTTCTTGTCTGGTTAATGCCTAATCTTTCGTTAGAGCTCAGCTCCAAATTCAATTCCTCAGAGAACCCTTTGCTGACTGCTCCTCCCTCCCTTAGTCCTCCAGCTACATGGCCTCTTTCTACAGGACCCGTGCTACATGGTTTATAATCATACACTTATTTGCATTATTATATCATAAATACATGCCTACCCTCTGGATTGTAAATTACATAATGCTAGGATCTTTTTTTTTATTTCCACTGAAAATCCCCAGCACACATAAAAAAGACTGAAATTTTACTGTTTGGGATAGCATGGATGGACCTAGAGGGTGTTATAGTAAGTGAACTGAGTCAGTCAGAGAAAGATAAATACCCTATGATTTCACTTATATGTGGAATCTAAAGAACAAGATAAACAAACAAAATTTAAACAGATTCATAGACACAGAGACCGGCTGGCGGTTGCCAGAGGGGGAGGGTTTGGGAGACTGGGTGAAAGAGGTGAAGGGAGTAAGAAGTACAAATTGGTACTTACAAAATCGTCACGGGGACGTAAAGTAGAGCATAGGGGATAGAGTCAATAATATGACAATAACTGTGTGTAGTGCCAGGAGGGTAGTGGGAACATCAGGGGGAACACTTTGGTAAGTGTATGACAGTCAAATCATTCTGCTGTACACCTGGAACTAAAATACAAAATAATACTGGGGGAAAACTCCCTAGTACCTAACATAGTGCCTAGTCAAAGCAGGCATTCAAAACTTGTTGAATACATGCGAGAGTAATAACTTGTGCAAAATACTTATTATTCACCTTTTAAAGAAACGGAAATTGAAGCTCAGAGAGATTTTTAAAACTTGCCTAAGGCTGTAAGTTAACAAATGGATGTGCGGGGGTGCCGAAACAGTCCCTTCGAATCCAGCTCAAAACACTGAAGGAGCTGCCAGGGGCAGTGCCCTGGTAACCAGCTGTCTCGGGGGAGACTGATTTCAGCGGATCCCTTCAAGATTTAGAGAGCTACAGCTACATAAATAGTTAAGAGTTGAGCAGTTATTCACTCAGTCATTGAGCAAACATAATAGAAACCGAGGAAGTTCCTGAACCTTTAATTAGTTGCTTAACACATTGTTTGCGGGTAGTT